AGCAACTACAGACTCGAAGTTTAGGGCCGACACAAAAGAAGATTCCTGAGAGCGCCTGAGCTGTGCTGCGGGACCGAGCGAGCAGCCCCAGGCAGCAGAGATCAGAGACCAAACACGGGGTCCACGCCAACGTGGAAACGGAGAGAGAGCCGCCCGGACTGTCCAGCTCTGTGAGTGACCCACAGCCCAGCCCTGCTTGCGAGGAAGACGCCTGTCCGGCTTCCGCCTGCCACACCAGGCCAGCCACCGGCCCCAGGGCTGCCTCCATTTTCTCGGGTGGGGCGGAGCCGGCCAGTTCGGCCAGGTCTGCCTCCCACACCTGGCTCGACTCCTCACTGAGTCTTGCCACTTGCTTGACCCGGTGCGGGGCCTTCCAGGGCCTGCGGGCCGGCCTCCCATCCCACTCCCTCAACGGTTCAATGGTGGGGCTGGTGGTGTGGGGAGCCCCTGGCCAGCGTCGGGAGACAGGGAAAAGCGGGCCAGGCCAATTGTTACTCCACCGCACCCGGGGCTCCTCCCTGAGTAAACCTCCTGTTGCCGGGAGGCAGATACCACCTCTGCGGCCACCAGTTCGGAAAAACACCTAGCTGATTTCTGGTTAGGAAAAGTGTGGTCGAAACGCTCCCGAGCTCACTTGAGCGTGCCGGAGAGCTGAATACGGGTGGACGCTGGAGTCAGTCCGTGCCGGGGGGATTCAAAGAGGAACTGTGTGCTGCGGGCTCCTCCCCTGAGGAGCTCACACTGAGAAAGCCCCACTCAGTGCTACAAAGCCACCCAGAGCGACGAGTAGCCTGCATCTAGGAGAAACCTGAAAGTATTCCTGGGCGGGGCGGAGCTGAGCAGGGGTTTGAAGACATGGCCGATAGATGGGGTTGCAGTAGACACGCCCCAGCTCAGAGAGGGGAGGTGTCTGGTTACGGAGGCGGAGACTCAGCAGGAAAAAATACACCTTGCGGGCCGCCTCGGTAAGGTCCAACAGCCCCACCTCGTGCGCAGACTCGGCAGAAAACACACAACCTGTGGGGCCGCCACTGCGTGATCCAGCAGCC